GAGTCTCTACTTTAAAGAGTCCTCTCCTGCTGATGTTCAGGTGTATATCAGCATGTAGTGTCTCTACTTTAAAGAGTCCTCTCCTGCTGATGTTCAGGTGTATATCAGTATGTAGAGTCTCTACTTTAAAGAGTCCTCTCCTGCTGATGTTCAGGTGTATATCAGCATGTAGTGTCTCTACTTTAAAGAGTCCTCTCCTGCTGATGTTCAGGTGTATATCAGTATGTAGTGTCTCTACTTTAAAGAGTCCTCTCCTGCTGATGTTCAGGTGTATATCAGTATGTAGTGTCTCTACTTTAAAGAGTCCTCTCCTGCTGATGTTCAGGTGTATATCAGTATGTAGAGTCTCTACTTTAAAGAGTCCTCTCCTGCTGATGTTCAGGTGTATATCAGCATGTAGTGTCTCTACTTTAAAGAGTCCTCTCCTGCTGATGTTCAGGTGTATATCAGTATGTAGTGTCTCTACTTTAAAGAGTCCTCACCTGCTGATGTTCAGGTGTATATCAGTATGTAGTGTCTCTACTTTAAAGAGTCCTCTCCTGCTGATGTTCAGGTGTATATCAGTATGTAGTGTCTCTACTTTAAAGAGTCCTCTCCTGCTGATGTTCAGGTGTATATCAGTATGTAGTGTCTCTACTTTAAAGAGTCCTCTCCTGCTGATGTTCAGATGTATATCAGTATGTAGTGTCTCTACTTTAAAGAGTCCTCTCCTGCTGATGTTCAGGTGTATATCAGTATGTAGTGCTGCAGCACCTCTATCCCCCCTCTGTCTGAAACCAGAGCCCAGTCTGCTCTGATTGGTTAAGTGGCCGGCTCTGTTGTGATTGGTCAACAACTTAGAGATGTCCCGCCCCTTAGCCTATCACGTACAATGTGTTGGAGCGCTAGCCAATAGGAGCGTCAAATGATGTCACTATGTTCCGGAACTTTGGATTTTAGCCCTTTTTCAGACCATTGACCCATGCACACAAACCTATAGAACACACTACAGGAGAGAGAATAAGGCCTCTTTAAATGTACATTTTACTGCGTTTGTGAGATAATGTATAAAGTGTTTTTCTCACTGGGTAAAGTGACCACTGAGAATTCAGCAGCGTCCGAGTCGTCCTGTTCTTCTGAAGAGAGACACATCTTCTTCTGAAGGGGCTCCGAGTCCTCGTCTAAACACACACACACACACACACACACACACACACACACACACACACACACACACACACACACACACACACACACACACACACACACACACACACACACACACACTTATTCAATCTTCTGTACTATCAACAATTGTGAATTAAAACGTACAGTGTGTGTGTGTGCGTTAGTGTTCAGTTAGCAACAAATATTTCCTAGATTATTGAGTGCAATATAACATGTGTACGTGTCTGTGTGTGTGTGTGTGTGTGTGTGTGTGTGTGTGTGTGTCTGTGTGTGTGTGTGTGTGTGTGTGTGTGTGTGTGTGTGTGTGTGTGTGTGTGTGTGTGTGTGTGTGTGTGTGTGTGTGTTGTGTGTGTGTGTGTGTGTGTGTGTGTGTGTGTGTGTGTGTGTGTGCCCACCGTTGTGAGGACAGTGCAGGATGTCTCTGTCCTGGCTGAGTGCGACTGACTTGGCGGTTTCTATCGCTGCAGCTTCCTCCTCCTCTTCCTCGGCTGCTGAGCTCATCCTGCCTGAGGGGAAGGAACATCAAATATATGAAACACAGAGTCATGATAACAGGAAGGGAAGCTCGAGGCTACCGTAGTTCAGGTTTTTAATGTGACGTTAAAAAAAGCAGAAGTCGCAAAAGACAAATATTTTAAATACAGATACAGATTTTTTTCTATAAATAAATTATTTCCGGACATTTGACCGGCAAGAAAAATCTTGCCGGTCAAATGTCCGGAAATAATTTATTTTACTAATTTGAAACTTACCGGTCATGTTTCAATAATAATAATAATAATTGTGTAGCAGAGTTTCTCTCTTCTCTCTCTCTCTCTCTCTCTCTCTCTCTCTCTCTCTCTCTCTCTCTCTCTCTCTCTCTCTCTCTCTCTCTCTCTCTCTCTCGCTCTCTCTCTCTCTCTCTCTCTCTCTCTCTCTCTCTCTCTCTCTCTCTCTCTCTCTCTCTCAGTGGGCGGGGCTTCAGGTGATTATGGAGCAGCTGATCTGATCTCTCTCGCATCCGGTTACACTCGCGTTTATGTCCATATCGATCAGATCTATTAAGAGTGAATATCGGCCGGGTAATTACCGGCTAACGGAAACCCTGATATATATATTCTTTATATCATGGGATACAAAAGGGAGGCGTGTGGCGTAGTGGTCTAGTGCGTTGGTGTTTGAATCAGGGGGTCACAGGTTCAAACCCCACTGCAGTCAGCATGTCGTTGTGTCCCTGAGACACTACACTAGTTAAGCCTAGTAGAAGGTAATGGAAAACAGCTTTATACTGTATTATTATTATTTTGTTTTTTTTAAATCAATACTTAAAACTCACTTTTTCTCTCTGGCCTTTTAGGCTTCTCTTATCAAGAATAACTTTTACCCAAGACCTTTTCCCTCTCTAACCTATCGAGTTTTATTTGTTTTCAGAGTGGCTTAGACAGGCCGGGGAGTGTTACGATTCGTAGACACAGCGTCCCTCCCTATCTCTCATCAATTTCCAACTAAGGCTCCAGTGGGGACCTTGTTCCCTGAGTGTGCCTCACCACCTATTCTAAGGGAGTTCTTCCGTCTGTCTGTCTGTCTGTCTGTGTATTCTCTGGTTCCGATTAACCCAGCCACATTTGTTCTTGTTTTGTGTCTATATCTACGCCGGGATCCGGAGTCGAGGCTGATCCTCTTGCTGTAGTCCTGTGTCTTGGATCCTCTATCCTGAGTTCTGGATTAAGTCGTGGACTTCGGGTCGTGGCTGAACCTGTCTCTGCGGTCCTGCCTTGGGTCTCGTCATGCTGCTTCCCTGAAGGCTTCCACAGGATTGTAGCTGACATCCTCGTGGATTCATCTTTTTATTACAGACACATGCATTTCCTAACATTCGGTCTATATGCTGTAAAATGTATTATCTCTTCGATTTACACACGGCATCTATTGCACGTCTGTCCGTCCTGGGAGAGGGATCCCTCCTCTGTTGCTCTCCCTGAGGTTTCTCCCATGTTCCCCTTAAACTGTGGGGTTTCTCTGGAAGTTTTTCCTTGTACGTACGATGTGAGGGTCTAAGGACAGAGGGTCTAAGGATAGAGGGAGTCGTTTTTTCTCATACAGATATTCTGAACAATCTGTGCTGTTGTATTTGCTGTAAAGTGTCTCTACTGTAGGCTATTTTTATTATATGTACAGCACTTTGGCTCCACCAAAAATTGTTTATAAATGTGCTACATAAATAAAACTTGATTTGATTTGATTAAAAGTATTGCAATGTGAGTCCAAGGGGACAACGTACATATGGGACCCTTAAAAAGAATAGTAAAGGTCTTCAGGACAGAAAAACCAAAACAATATGAAGTTAATTTGTTCGTTTATCCTCTTGATTGAATTCATCCCAAACTCATATTTTAAGGCAGATTATACATCTGCTCAATAACTAAACTCCTGCACCAGTATTTGTGACATTTAACTTTTTATAAATTGGCATTTGTTTACTCGGGTGACAAATAAAGCATAAGTTATTTCAGTTAAACAATATATGTATAAATATGTAGGCTCACTATCGCCCTCCACTGTTTTCCAGCTGAATCTGACTGCAAACCAGCAGCATTAACAGGACCTTAGATTTCAGTCATTATTTAGCAAAAATGTGTCATATTTTTGGACAATATGTACGCCGAATTGTAGACTGGACTGTTTAAAAAAAGGCTGTATTTAGGGTTTAAGTAAATAATGTATGTGTTGTTAGGAAATCTGCAAAAATGATGTAGAATGTGTCACTTTTTAAAGGGAGTTCGGTGTAAGCTCCCATACATCTACGTTTCAACACACACACACACATACCATGTATACATCACTTCAGGGGACATTACATTGACTTACATGCTTTTCCTGGAGACTTATCCTAACCTTAACCATAACCAACACATGCCTAACCCTAACCCTAACCCTAACCAAGTCTTCACCCTGAAATTAATGATTCCCCTCATGGGGACCTCCAATTTGTCCCCATAAGGGAGGCGAGTCCCCACATGTGACTGTGTAAACAGATTTAGGTCCCCACAAGTATAGTAATGCTAGGCCACACACTAGGGCTGCTCGATTATGGCAAAAATCATAATCTCGATTATTTGGGTGAATAATTGATATCACGATTATCCATTTACTTTGAAAACATCCATTTATTGAAAGAAAAAATGTGAACAGTATGTTAACAGTTGATTACCTTGAACTTTCAGTATAATTCAACTGAAAAACCAATAAAGAATGTTTTCTTTAAATAATAAAAAAATAAAAATAATCGTTTTATTTCGATTATGTTGTTTTCATAATCGTTGCAAGCCAACATCGTAATTGCGATTAAAATACGATTAATTGAGCAGCCCACACACACACACACACACACACACACACACCACACACACACACACACACCCACACACACACACACACACACACACACACACACACACACACACACACACACACACACGGAGTATCTTGCTATCTGTGATGCTAACTTTTAGCAAAAATGTGTGATTTTTTTGGACAGTATGTTAGCCGAACTGTACGCTGCATGTATTTAAAATATAATACCTCATGTTTTAATAAATAACACGTGTTTTAAAGAAATCTGCAAAAATGATGTTAAATGTGTGACTTTTTTAATGGAGTCTGGTGTAGGCCTCAATGCATCCCTGTTTGAAACACAGGGGTTTAACGCAGTGATCAATGCACTTTGCGTGATTAAAAACATTGTTAATGCACACAATGACTCTAGATGTAATGCATTTATTCAGCTTTGGAGACAGACACAGTATCGTGCTATCTGTGATGCTAACTGTTAGCATCCATCCACCAAGCTTCTAATGAAAGGCTCTCCGGCGCCATGTTGCTGCACAATGTGAAGCAGTGGCGTGTTGTAGTTTTCTCGGTGTTTTGGGGGATTTATTCTGATTTTTCTGCAGCTTTATTCTCCCTCTGCGCTCCCACCGGCTCCCAGTACCAAACAGAAAGGGATTTTTTGCTTTTGATTCCTTACTTACTTCCTGTTTTTGGTCCGGGGACTCGCAGAGACCAGGATGAAGCGAAGTGCCAGGATGAAGACGGAGAGGAGCGGGTTGCCAGGTTTGGAGATTATCCGTAAAACTAAACTCTATAACTCTTCACCCTTCACTGAGAACTTCCACAGCAACACTATGAGCAATATATCATTACAAAACACTCGCTGCTATATAACATGTGCAATATTATTATTATCAGAGGTGGGAAGTATTGGAGTACAAATACTTCGTTACTGTTCTTAAGTACATGTTTCTGGTATCAGTACTTTACTCCACTACTTATTTTTCTGACGACTTTTTACTTTGACTTCTTACATTTTGAACACAAATACCTGTACTTTCTACTTCTCACATGTTGAACTCAAATACCTGTACTTTCTACTTCTTACATGTTGAACTCAAATACCTGTACTTTCTACTTCTCACATGTGAACTCAAATACCTGTACTTTCTACTTCTCACATGTTGAACTCAAATACCTGTACTTTCTACTTCTCACATTTTGAACTCAAATACCTGTACTTTCTACTTCTCACATGTTGAACACAAATACCTGTACTTTCTACTTCTCACATGTTGAACTCAAATACCTGTACTTTCTACTTCTCACATGTTGAACTCAAATACCTGTACTTTCTACTTCTTACATGTTGAACTCAAATACCTGTACTTTCTACTTCTCACATGTTGAACTCAAATACCTGTACTTTCTACTTCTCACATGTTGAACTCAAATACCTGTACTTTCTACTTCTCACATTTTGAACTCAAATACCTGTACTTTCTACTTCTCACATGTTGAACTCAAATACCTGTACTTTCTACTTCTTACATGTTGAACACAAATACCTGTACTTTCTACTTCTTACATTTTGAACACAAATACCTGTACTTTCTACTTCTTACATGTTGAACACAAATACCTGTACTTTCTACTTCTTACATGTTGAACACAAATACCTGTACTTTCTACTTCTTACATTTTGAACTCAAATACCTGTACTTTCTACTTCTTACATGTTGAACTCAAATACCTGTACTTTCTACTTCTCACATGTTGAACACAAATACCTGTACTTTCTACTTCTCTCATGTTGAACACAAATACCTGTACTTTCTACTTCTCACATGTTGAACTCAAATACCTGTACTTTCTACTTCTCACATGTTGAACACAAATACCTTTACTTTCTACTTCTCACATGTTGAACTCAAATACCTGTACTTTCTACTTCTCACATGTTGAACACAAATACCTTTACTTTCTACTTCTCACATGTTGAACCCAAATACCTGTACTTTCTACTTCTTACATGTTGAACTCAAATACCTGTACTTTCTACTTCTTACATGTTGAACACAAATACCTGTACTTTCTACTTCTTACATGTTGAACTCAAATACCTGTACTTTCTACTTCTTACATGTTGAACTCAAATACCTGTACTTTCTACTTCTCACATGTTGAACTCAAATACCTGTACTTTCTACTTCTTACATGTTGAACTCAAATACCTGTACTTTCTACTTCTTACATGTTGAACACAAATACCTGTACTTTCTACTTCTTACATGTTGAACTCAAATACTTGTACTTTCTACTTCTCACATGTTGAACTCAAATACTTGTACTTTCTACTTCTTACATGTTGAACTCAAATACCTGTACTTTCTACTTCTCACATGTTGAACTCCAATACCTGTACTTTCTACTTCTCACATTTTGAACTCAAATACCTGTACTTTCTACTTCTCACATGTTGAACACAAATACCTGTACTTTCTACTTCTTACATGTTGAACACAAATACCTGTACTTTCTACTTCTTACATGTTGAACACAAATACCTGTACTTTCTACTTCTTACATGTTGAACTCAAATACCTGTACTTTCTACTTCTCTCATGTTGAACACAAATACCTGTACTTTCTACTTCTTACATGTTGAACACAAATACCTGTACTTTCTACTTCTTACATTTTGAACTCAAATACCTGTACTTTCTACTTCTTACATGTTGAACTCAAATACCTGTACTTTCTACTTCTTACATGTTGAACTCAAATACCTGTACTTTCTACTTCTCACATGTTGAACACAAATACCTGTACTTTCTACTTCTCTCATGTTGAACACAAATACCTGTACTTTCTACTTCTCACATGTTGAACTCAAATACCTGTACTTTCTACTTCTCACATGTTGAACACAAATACCTTTACTTTCTACTTCTCACATGTTGAACTCAAATACCTGTACTTTCTACTTCTCACATGTTGAACACAAATACCTTTACTTTCTACTTCTCACATGTTGAACCCAAATACCTGTACTTTCTACTTCTTACATGTTGAACTCAAATACCTGTACTTTCTACTTCTTACATGTTGAACACAAATACCTGTACTTTCTACTTCTTACATGTTGAACTCAAATACCTGTACTTTCTACTTCTTACATGTTGAACTCAAATACCTGTACTTTCTACTTCTCACATGTTGAACTCAAATACCTGTACTTTCTACTTCTTACATGTTGAACTCAAATACCTGTACTTTCTACTTCTTACATGTTGAACACAAATACCTGTACTTTCTACTTCTTACATGTTGAACTCAAATACTTGTACTTTCTACTTCTCACATGTTGAACTCAAATACTTGTACTTTCTACTTCTCTCATTTTCCAAACAGCTGGTTCCTTTAGTCTGAATGTGTGTTTGATGCGTGATCATTATTCTTTAGAGTCATTGCGTGCCTATTGATTTGAACACGATCCGTGTATCCATCATGTCCTGGTCTTCTCTAAAGAAGAGGGACCAATGGAAACGTTGTCATGTTGCCGTTGTTCAGCATGGAAACATTCATTAGCTAACAATGACATTATTGTTCTATTAATATAAAGGGAGCTCAGGTACTCTTTAAAACAGCTGCTAGTTATGGGTACTTTTTACTGAAGTACATTTCAAAGCCTCTTTACTTTGACTTGAGTAAAGAAGTTTAGTCAGTACTTCTACTTTCACCAGAGTATTTTTAAACACCAAGTATCTGTACTTCTACTTGAGTACAGGATGTGTGTACTTTTGCCCTCTCTGATTATTATTATTAACAATGTACTATGATAACGTATCTGCCGCTACATTTTTTTGCAATACTGATAATATGTACATTAATGATGTGACCGTCTGTTGCCTGTAGATATTTAACTGCTCTTTTTACTGCACTGTTAGTGTACAGTTTTACTATTACACTGCTGTGTTTATTGTATTTGTGTAACTCTGGCACAACAGTCTTAGTTCAACAAAACAATTCAGTTTAATATTTAATATTCCATCTGTCACATTGAAGAAGAAGAAGATTCAACTTATTGTCATTACGTAGTACAGGTACTATGTAACGAAACGGTTTCTCTGCATTTGACCCATCCTAGTGGTAGGAGCAGTGGGCTGCCATTATGTACGGCACCCGGGGAGCAGTGTAGGGAACGGTGCCTTGCTCAGGGACACCTCGGTAGCACTTGGTCTTTCCGGGACTTGAACTGGTGACCTTCCAGTTGACAAACCAAGTCCCTATGGACTTCGCCACCACCGCCCCATACTTATGTAATACCTTGCTTTATATTTTGTTATTGTTCATTTGAAAAGTCAACATGTATTTTTCTCCTTTCTTGTTTATTTATTGTCTTTTATTATTTATTGTACAATGCCATGTCTTTTTATGATGCTGCAACACAAACATTTCCCAAATTGGGATCAATAAAGTAGGGGGACCAGGGACAGTTGTAACACCTTCAATATCTCCAATCACAAACAAGCTCGAGTGATGAAACTCACTCTGCACATGCGCAGTTAGATGGAAAGATTGCTGTGAGAAAAAGGAGCCACGTTTAAATCTGTCACGAAAGATATCAGCAAAAGTGTGTTTCTGAGGTAAAACATTAACAACAATGATATGATGAATTTTTGGATACTGTCTTGAGGTCAAATGTCTAGGAATCCAAACTAGTATTATTAGAATCACTGTTTTGTAAGCTAAACATATAACTAACTAAATATGGGTCAAGCTAGCAATCAGGCAGGTTCACAGCAGGGGGTGAAAACATGACTGGTGGTCCTGGGACGGTTGGGACGGTTGTAACACGGACCACCTGGGACGGTTGGGACGGTTGTAACATGGACCACCTGGGACGGTTGTAACACGGACCACCTGGGACGGTTGCAACACGGACCACCTGGGACGGTTGGGACGGTTGTAACACGGACCACCTGGGACGGTTGTAACACGGACCACCTGGGACGGTTGTAACACGGACCACCTGGGACGGTTGGGACGGTTGTAACACGGACCACCTGGGACGGTTGTAACACGGACCACCTGGGACGGTTGCAACACGGACCACCTGGGACGGTTGGGACGGTTGTAACACGGACCACCTGGGACGGTTGTAACACGGACCACCTGGGACGGTTGTAACACAGACCACTTGGGACGGTTGGGACGGTTGTAACACGGACCACCTGGGACGGTTGTAACACGGACCACCTGGGACGGTTGTAACACAGACCACTTGGGACGGTTGTAACACAGACCACTTGGGACGGTTGGGACGGTTGTAACACGGACCACCTGGGACGGTTGTAACACGGACCACCTGGGACGGTTGTAACACAGACCACTTGGGACGGTTGGGACGGTTGTAACACGGACCACCTGGGACGGTTGTAACACGGACCACCTGGGACGGTTGTAACACGGACCACCTGGGACGGTTGTAACACGGACCACCTGGGACGGTTGTAACACGGACCACCTGGGACGGTTGTAACACACAGACCACTTGGGACGGTTGGGACGGTTGTAACACGGACCACCTGGGACGGTTGTAACACAGACCACTTGGGACGGTTGGGACGGTTGTAACACGGACTACCTGGGACGGTTGTAACACGGACCACCTGGGACGGTTGTAACACAGACCACTTGGGACGGTTGGGACGGTTGTAACACGGACCACCTGGGACGGTTGTAACACGGACCACCTGGGACGGTTGTAACACAGACCACTTGGGACGGTTGTAACACGGACCACCTGGGACGGTTGTAACACAGACCACTTGGGACGGTTGGGACGGTTGTAACACGGACCACCTGGGACGGTTGTAACACGGACCACCTGGGACGGTTGTAACACAGACCACTTGGGACGGTTGGGACGGTTGTAACACGGACCACCTGGGACGGTTGTAACACGGACCACCTGGGACGGTTGTAACACAGACCACTTGGGACGGTTGGGACGGTTGTAACACGGACCACCTGGGACGGTTGTAACACGGACCACCTGGGACGGTTGTAACACGGACCACCTGGGATGGTTGTAACACGGACCACCTGGGATGGTTGTAACACATCCCACCTGGGACGGTTGGGACGGTTGTAACACGGACCACCTGGGACGGTTGTTGCCTTAGAATTTGACAGCTTTCCCTCTTTTTTGTCATGTAGTGTGAAAAAAGGCAACCGTTATTACCATGTTACAACCGTCCCTGTACGAGTTGTTTTTTTAAAATACATTTTCCAACCTGTACTTATTTCATAGAAGCATCTTAAATACATTGTTTCAGTAGTTGACACATTGAGAATGTATAATATAGCAAAATGGCTATCCTAGTGTAAATGGTTTTTTACTTATTGGGGAAAACCCAAAAAGTGTTACAACTGTCCCTGGTCTATCTTATCTCTTATCTTATCCAAGTGTCTGTAAAATATTATATATATATTTAAAACATAATAACTTACTTGTAAATTCGATTAAAAAAAAGTGTGTTCCAGTTCTTGAGTTTGGGATATATCTTTCATTAGGGACTAACAAGTTCTAAAAAAACATTAATTAATATTAGTAAGATAAAATCAGAATCAGACTTGCTTTATTTTTCCTGTAAATGGGAAATCAACATTTTTACAACACAGCATACAGTGGAGGTAAAGTGAGGCGAATAGTCTTACATATTACACACATAAAACTAAGTATGCGCAACATGGAAAAGAACAAACCTGGCAACCACTCCGATCGCTCTTATCACTTGTCCGGGTGACAATCCCACTTATAATTGTTCTATTATCCTAAATACTGTTAATAATGCATCAAAATAACACTTAATAAATGTCTATATTTTTATTTGTTACCTGAAATTACTTTTTGTGGTAAAAAAAATCCTGTTATCTTAGTAATGAATGGTTCCGCTCTTCTTCTCATCGGACCCTTTTAGCGACGGACCAAACGTTGGAGCTGCAGAAATCCAAATCACACATTTTGACATTTTTAGCTCCTTTTTATTGATTATTTAGCGAAATCATGGCTGAAAAACCAGTGAAAGTGTGAGTTTACTCTTTAACTACTTATCGATTACTTTAATGACGTCACTTATCTTCAAATATTGAGTATTTATGTGTTTTTTCAAATGTCATTTTAACCATGATGTGACAGAGGGTCTGTTTACGTCGATTTTTTGGTATTATACATTTTTCATGCATAAATACGCTTCATTATTGTATTTCTAAATTGTGTTGCATCAAATTGTTCTATTTTCTACTAAGTGCGTTTCAATTCGTCGCGATATGCGAGGAATCTCATGCAACATGTGTTTAATTTAAGCGTGTTTACTCATTGGCAGCTGTTTAAACATCACAAAACTTGACGTTAATGCATTAAACAACATCCTTAATGTGTACTTTAAAAATCGGCATACAAAAAATACCTGAATTATTAGATTATAAGGGATTTTTTATCTGACATAAGCACCATTTTGAGTTTCAACCGGTTCCGTTTCGCTTGTTTTCAAATGTTATTGAAGAAAGCGGGTGTTGGTCATGTAATGTCAGCCGAATCAAAAAGTTGTGTTTCATATCTTCCTGTACTTGTTTACCAACTATTCAGACACCATTAAGACTATAAAAATACTCAAAATACTTTACGTTTTGGTTGGATTTTGAGTTTTTTGGGGTCCTAAATCCTTTTAATAATAATAATAATAATAATAATAATAATAATAAATTATATTTCTATAGCGCTTTTCTTGAACCCAAATATGCTTTGCATTATGAGGGAGGGTAGACTAACAAGGACAGGCAAAAAAACAAAACAGTCAGGTACTTTAAATGCTGTTTCGGTTCAAATTCTTGCTCAGACTGTGCTTTAGAGCATGGAGTCTGGGAGAGCGTATTCAAATGAGGTAGAGGTGTGTAGCTTTTGGGTGTTATGGTTTCATTACAGAACTCCAAATGACCCCCAAAAAGACACATTATTCAACTACGAAAAGTAATTGTGAAGTAGAATTTGTCAAAAGAGAGAGCAAACCTCCACCAAGTCTGATGCATTCAGTGTTCTGATGTTACTGAGCCTGAGAATTTTCCCAGTTTTGAACCAATTTTTATTATTCCAACATCATTGGTTGAGAGGTGGGGGGGAGCTTATGGATACAGAGTTGAAGAGGTGGGTTTTGAGGCGGGACTGGAACAGGGTGAGGGACTCAGACTCACGGAGGTCTTGGGGGAGGGAGTTCCAGAGCTTCGGGGCTGCCACAGAGAAGGCTCTGTCCCTGAAGCTCCGGAGTTTGGCCTTGGAGATGGAAAGCAAACCGGCTGAGGTGGATCTGAGGGACCGGGGTGGTTGGTAGAGGATGAGGAGGTCAGTGAGTGAGGAGGGAGGGTGGGGGGGACAGATGGTGGAGGGCTTTGAAAGTGAGGACCAGGAGTTTGTAGTGGATGCGGTGTGAAACGGGGAGCCAGTGGAGTTCTTTGAGGACCGGGGTGATGCGATGCCATGATTTGGTGTGGGGGAGGGATCTGGCGGCTGCGTTCTGGACACACTGGAGTCTACTGAGGGATGTAGTGCTGATGCCGTAGAGGAGTGAGTTGCAGTAGTCGAGGCGGGAGGAGATGAAGGCGTGAATGAGTCGCTCAGCTGCGGGGCGGGTGAGAGAGGGACGGAGTTTGGCAACATTGAGGAGGTGGAAAAATGAGGTTTTGACAACTTGGCGGATGTGGGGCTCGAGGGAGAGGGTGGGGTCAAATAAAGCCACGGTTGCGTGCCTGGGTGGAGGGGGAAACAGGGGTGCCATCAATGGTTGCTTTTGACGAGCAAAGTGACTATATATGGAATGAATGTTCTTACTGTGTTTTTCTCATGTTGTGTATTTGCTGCATATATTAAAGTATAAACGTGTGTGTGCAGCTTGGCGTGTGGAGACGTTGAAGGCCGGCTGAACGCTCTGTTTAATCGGGTCCAGGCCATCCAGAAGAAAGCCGGACAGTTTGATGTGAGTCAGAGACAGATTTCACATTTAAATGTACAGAAACTTTGGCCGTTTCTCAATGTCGAGTATTCAGCTGCAGAGCCACTATTTCAAGTATACTGCGTCATCGAGTGGCGCCGAATGCTGGGCATTAAACAGTCCTTCGGCGCCACTCGATGACGATACTTGAAATAGTGGCTCTGCAGCAGGTCTACTCGACATTGAGAAACGGCCTTTGTGTTTTTTATGCTCATCTGTGCCCCTTTTCCCCTCAGCTGCTGCTCTGCGTCGGAGAGTTCTTTGGGACGACACCTGAGGCCGAGGCAGAGTGGCAGCAGTACAAAACTGGGGCTAAAAAAGGTCTTTATGTTACTTTACTTCTACATCTCGGAGGGAAACAGTGTACTTTTAACTCCACTACTTATATTTAAAAACCTAAGAGACATTACCAATACAAACTCAATGTGGTGTTACAAAGTGAAAGGTCTGACAAACGACCTTTTTGGGAACTTTTTCAGAATTTTTACTCATTTTAATCAACCCTTAAATCAGTGCTGTCTGCGATAACCAGTCGCTGCATGTCGTGCCCCGTATCTTACATGAAATAAATACAATTTATTTTTAAACGTTAGTGCATCTGTGCTTCATCAGCCTCTCATCACCCGGCAGATATTTGATAACGTTTAGCAAAACCACGAAGACTGATATCTGTATTTAAGAAATACATATATTGGTTTAACTGGAAAAACAGGTGGAGACATTTTGAACTTTACACTTTGATCGGCTGATAAAGAAACCAGTTCCTTTCAATCATAAGACTTTACTTGTGTACCATTACTAGACATATAAGGCTCACAGAAGATTTTACAATCGGGGAAAACAAACGTTATAATGTCTTGTCTTTGGAAGTTAAGTCTCCTCTCCTTTCCCCTCAGCTCCGATCCACACCTACATCCTGGGGGCAGCGAGTCAGGAGACGGTGAAAAGTTTCTCGAGCGCCGACGGCTGCGAGCTCGCCGACAACATCACGTACCTGGGTGAGAGTTAAACAACCACCAGAGGGAGAGCCTGAGAAGCTCTGAGAGACACTTTCCATATTTTTATTCAGCCTTTTCAAGTATCAAGCATAACGGACCTCCATGTGATTGATTTGATGTTTGAACGAGGCGATATAGAGAACGTTAGGCTGTTAAATACTGTTGTAAGCAGGCCTTTTGTTTTTGAATATTTGGGGAGTTAGGTGGTCCGTGTGTGTTTTGTATTGGTTAAGTGGTTCCGGTATGAAAAAGCTTGAGGAACACTGGTGCTCAATGCTGCTGGTGATGTGTTGTGATTTTAAAAAGGTGTCTATTATCATCTGGCCGGGGACAACAGCTGGAAACGAGCAATGTTGGCTGAAGCTAACGCCGCATTTACTGTTTTTTGTGACAGTTGATCAATGGGGACTGTCCACGACACTATACACAAATAAACCAAACTAGTGACCTGTTGTTCTGAATCTGTGTGTTTCAGGTTGTCGTGGTGGTTATTCAAGTGATGTAGTTAAACCTGTGTGTGTGTGTGTGTGTGTGTGTTTCAGGTCGTCGTGGTGTGTTCACGGGCGTCTCAGGACTCCAGATAGCGTACGTCAGTGGGAGGGAGGCTCTTCAGGACCCCCCGCCCGCTCACTGCTTCACCTCCAAACACCTCTCAGCCCTCGTGGCCCCGCTGACAGGAAACTCCAAGTTCAGAGGGGTCGACATCCTGCTGACCTCCCAGTGGCCCCGGGGGGTCTGGCACTACGGAAACACCCCGGTAACACGCTCATAGTGAAAGTCCAATATCAGAGTACACATGATAACAAAGGCATCCCAACTGTAGCTGTGAACATGACAGGATGTGTGATTACCTAGAAGAGCATCAGGACTGTTTGAGGCAGATGATAGCTATGTGATTAACATGAGGATTCAGCCTCTATGGAGAGAGACATCAAGCATGCTCATTTCTGACGTGGAGCTAATCTGAAGTAAACATTGAATACTGCTTTCTATTCCTCCATCTTGTGACTGTGTAACTCCCTCTCTTGGATATCAGCATGTGAAGGACACTGCTCAGAATTTTGAGATTTCGAGAAAAAGTCAGAATTTTGAGGGAAATTGAGGAAAAAGTCCGAATATTGAGATTTTGAGAAAAAGTCAGAATTTTGTGAAAAACCTCAGTATTTTGTACATGACAGGATGCTTGATACAAGACCCGGTTTCCTCCATATTGTGACTCTATAACTCCCTCTCTTGGATATCAGCATGTGAAGGACACTGCTCAGGAACTAGTTGATGCTCTGGCGAATCATCTCAAATGTAACCAAAATGTAAACATGTAAAACATGACCCCTAACCCCCTGCTGTTGTTCTCCTCCTGTGTGTTTCAGGAAGTGAACACCAAGTTCTGTGGCAGCGGTTCTGTTGCTAACCTGGCGGATCACCTGAAGCCCAGATACCACTTTGCTGCTCTGGAGGGGGCTCACTACGAGAGGCTGCCCTACAGGTAACTGCTCACCTGGGGGGAACACCTGTCACCATGCCACAATACGGATCTGATGAATCCTTACTTCATAGTTTCTCTGGTAACTGACTCTTGAGTTCCGTGTGTGTGTGTGTGTGTGTGTGTGTGTGTGTGTGTGTTTCAGGAATCACGTTGTTCTGCAGGAGAACGCTCAGCACGTCAGCCGCTTCATCGCCCTGGCCAGCGTCAACAACCCCGCCAAGAAGAAGGTGATAATAATAACAACAACAACAACAACAGTACTTTCTATTTTGGAGGCGTCTTTCATTACACTCAGGTCACCTTACAATTCAATCAGGTTAAAAACAGTAAGGTGTGTGTGTACGTTTGTCTTTCTTCAGTATCAAATGTATCCAGTGATGATTGTCTTTATATCAACGTGTACTCTGCAAACAGGAACTGCTAAATGCTATTTCGGCTAACTTTAAATGCAGCTAAATTGTCCAAATGTTAACAAAAACATGATCAAAGTAGTGTGTGTGTGTGTGTGTGTGTGTGTGTGTGTGTGTGTGTGTGTGTGTGTGTGTGTGTGGGTGTGTGTGTGTGTGTGTGTGTGTGTGTGTGTGTGTGTGTGTGTGTGTGTGTGTGTGTGTGTGTGTGTGTGTGGTGTGTGTGTGTGTGTGTGTGTGTGTGTGTGTGTGTGTGTGTGTGTGTGTGTGTGTGTGTGTGTGTGTGTGTGTGTGTGTGTGTGTGTGTGTGTGTGTGTGTGTGTGTGTGTGTGTGTGTGTGTGTGTGTGTGTGTGTGTGTGTGTGTGTGTGTGTGTGTGTGTGTGTGTGTGTGTGTGTGTGTGTGTGTGTGCAGTATCTGTACGCCTTCAACATCGTCCCCATGAAGGCTCTGGAGGCCTCTGAGCTGGTGAAGCAGCCTCAGGACGTGACGGAGAACCCGTACAGGTTCTGCAGTAAAGACAAGACGGGCAAACAGAGGCCGAGCTTCAACACCACAGAAGAAGAGGTACACATGCTAACACGCTAACATGCTAACAGGAGCTATGGATCAGCACGTGTTCGTTAGTTTAGATAGAGAGCTCTAACTTCAGGTCTGAAAGGTGCTTTTCGTGTCGATATGATGCATTTTTGAATGACTCAAATGCCCTCTGTCCTCCCCGTGGTGCGTTCAGGAGCCGGCTGGACAGTTTTTCTTCGACCTGAGTAAGAAGCAGGGCGGGGGCTTCAGGGGCCGCGGGAGGAAGAGAGAGGGAGACGGACGAGGAGACTTCCAGAGAGACGAGAACAAACAGCCGCGAAGACACCGTGAGTTCAGAGGGAACACACCTGGGTTATTCATATCTGACATGTAGCATTTTATTTGTATTGTTTCTGTTCGGATTTTATGTAAAGAGTCTTTGAGCATTAGGAAAAGCCCTACACAAATCCAATGTATTATTATTATTATTATTCAGAATCAGAAACAGGTTTATCACCACGTTGTCACCACGTTGTCACCACGTTGACACGTACGAGAATTTGACTTGGTGTCGTGGTGCGTACATAAAAGTAAAACAAGAATTTAAAACACAGGTAGAAAACTATTTTAAGAAAACTATAATAATAGCAATAGCATTTGTGGAAAACCAAACTAAAACAGAAATGAGTTTGAACACATGAAGGATTCCTGATGCTAATCCTGAATTCAAACTCAGATAATAACAGAGTAGCATCTTTAAGAATACATGTATGTTGATTTCCTGCGTGCTAACAGCAACTACTGTATTGTAAAGAATATCAATAAGTAGAAACGGCTTTATATTACGTTTTAAAGAGCATTTGTTGGTAAAAGGTACCAGTAAGGTATCAGTAAGTACCAGTAAAGTATCAGTAAGTATCAGTAAAGTACCAGTATCAGTAAGTATCAGTAAAGTACCAGTAAAGTATCAGTAAGTACCAGTAAAGTACCAGTAAAGTATCAGTAAAGTACCAGTATCAGTAAGTACCAGTAAGGTATCAGTAAGTACCAGTAAAGTATCAGTAAGTATCAGTAAAGTACCAGTATCAGTAAGTACCAGTAAAGTATCAGTAAAGTATCAGTAAGTACCAGTAAAGTACCAGTAAAGTATCAGTAAAGTATCAGTAAAGTACCAGTAAAGTATCAGTAAGGTATCAGTAAGTACCAGTAAAGTATCAGTAAAGTATCAGTAAGTACCAGTAAAGTATCAGTAAAGTATCAGTAAAGTACCAGTAAAGTACCAGTAAAGTATCAGTAAAGTACCAGTAAAGTATCAGTAAAGTATCAGTAAAGTACCAGTAAAGTACCAGTAAAGTATCAGTAAAGTATCAGTAAAGTATCAGTAAAGTACCAGTAAGTACCAGTAAAGTACCAGTAAAGTATCAGTAAAGTACCAGTAAAGTACCAGTAAAGTATCAGTAAGTACCAGTAAAGTACCAGTAAAGTATCAGTAAGTACCAGTAAAGTATCAGTAAAGTATCAGTAAGTATCAGTAAAGTACCAGTAAAGTATCAGTAAGTACCAGTAAAGTATCAGTAAAGTATCAGTAAGTACCAGTAAAGTATCAGTAAAGTATCAGTAAGTACCAGTAAAGTATCAGTAAAGTATCAGTAAGTACCAGTAAGTACCAGTAAAGTATCAGTAAGTACCAGTAAAGTACCAGTAAAGTATCAGTAAAGTACCAGTAAAGTATCAGTAAGTACCAGTAAAGTATCAGTAAGTACCAGTAAAGTATCAGTAAAGTATCAGTAAGTACCCAGTAAGTACCAGTAAAGTATCAGTAAAGTACCAGTAAAGTACCAGTAAAGTAATCAGTAAGTTACCAGTAAAGTACCAGTACGATACCAGTAAAGTATCAGTAAAGTACCAGTAAGTACCAGTAAAGTACCAGTAAGTATCAGTAAAGTATCAGTAATACCCAGTAAAGTAAGGTACCAGTAAAGTATCAGAAAGTAGCAGTAAGTACCAGTAAAGTACCAGTAAAGTATCAGTAAGTACCAGTAAAGTATCAGTAAGTACCAGTAAAGTAACAGTAAAGTATCAGTAAAGTACCAGTAAAGTATCAGTAAGTACCAGTAAAGTATCAGTAAGTACCAGTAAAGTATCAGTAAGTACCAGTAAAGTACCAGTAAAGTATCAGTAAGTACCAGTAAAGTATCAGTAAGTACCAGTAAAGTAACAGTAAAGTATCAGTAAAGTACCAGTAAAGTATCAGTAAGTATCAGTAAAGTACCAGTAAAGTATCAGTAAGTACCAGTAAAGTATCAGTAAAGTATCAGTAAGTACCAGTAAGTACCAGTAAAGTATCAGTAAAGTACCAGTAAAGTACCAGTAAAGTATCAGTAAGTACCAGTAAGTACCAGTAAAGTACCAGTAAAGTATCAGTAAAGTACCAGTAAAGTACCAGTAAAGTATCAGTAAAGTATCAGTAAAGTACCAGTAAAGTATCAGTAAAGTATCAGTAAGTACCAGTAAAGTATCAGTAAAGTATCAGTAAGTACCAGTAAGTACCAGTAAAGTATCAGTAAGTACCAGTAAAGTACCAGTAAAGTATCAGTAAGTACCAGTAAAGTATCATAGCAGTAAGTATCAGTAAAGTACCAGTAAAGTATCAGTAAGTACCAGTAAAGTACCAGTAAAGTATCAGTAAGTACCAGTAAAGTATCAGTAAAGTATCAGTAAGTACCAGTAAGTACCAGTAAAGTATCAGTAAAGTACCAGTAAAGTACCAGTAAAGTATCAGTAAGTACCAGTAAGTACCAGTAAAGTACCAGTAAAGTATCAGTAAAGTACCAGTAAAGTACCAGTAAAGTACCAGTAAAGTATCAGTAAAGTATCAGTAAGTACCAGTAAAGTACCAGTAAAGTATCAGTAAAGTACCAGTAAAGTATCAGTAAGTACCAGTAAAGTATCAGTAAAGTACCAGTAAAGTATCAGTAAGTACCAGTAAAGTATCAGTAAAGTATCAGTAAGTACCAGTAAGTATCAGTAAAGTACCAGTAAAGTATCAGTAAGTACCAGTAAAGTATCAGTAAAGTATCAGTAAAGTACCAGTAAAGTACCAGTAAAGTATCAGTAAAGTATCAGTAAGTACCAGTAAGTACCAGTAAAGTATCAGTAAAGTACCAGTAAAGTATCAGTAAGTACCAGTAAAGTACCAGTAAAGTATCAGTAAAGTACCAGTAAAGTACCAGTAAAGTATCAGTAAAGTACCAGTAAAGTATCAGTAAAGTATCAGTAAGTACCAGTAAAGTACCAGTAAAGTATCAGTAAGTACCAGTAAAGTATCAGTAAAGTATCAGTAAGTACCAGTAAAGTACCAGTAAAGTACCAGTAAAGTACCAGTAAAGTATCAGTAAGTACCAGTAAAGTATCAGTAAAGTACCAGTAAAGTACCAGTAAAGTATCAGTAAAGTACCAGTAAAGTACCAGTAAAGTATCAGTAAGTACCAGTAAAGTATCAGTAAGTACCAGTAAAGTACCAGTAAAGTATCAGTAAGTACCAGTAAAGTACCAGTAAAGTATCAGTAAAGTACCAGTAAAGTATCAGTAAGTACCAGTAAAGTATCAGTAAGTACCAGTAAAGTATCAGTAAAGTACCAGTAAAGTATCAGTAAAGTATCAGTAAAGTACCAGTAAAGTATCAGTAAAGTATCAGTAAAGTACCAGTAAAGTACCAGTAAAGTATCAGTAAAGTACCAGTAAAGTATCAGTAAAGTACCAGTAAAGTATCAGTAAAGTACCAGTAAAGTATCAGTAAAGTATCAGTAAGTACCAGTAAAGTATCAGTAAAGTATCAGTAAGTACCAGTAAGTATCAGTAAAGTATCAGTAAAGTACCAGTAAAGTATCAGTAAGTATCAGTAAAGTACCAGTAAAGTATCCAGTAAAGTACCAGTAAAGTATCAGTAAAGTATCAGTAAAGTACCAGTAAAGTATCAGTAAGTACCAGTAAAGTACCAGTAAAGTATCAGTAAGTACCAGTAAAGTACCAGTAAAGTATCAGTAAGTACCAGTAAAGTACCAGTAAAGTATCAGTAAGTATCAGTAAAGTACCAGTAAAGTACCAGTAAAGTATCAGTAAGTACCAGTAAAGTATCAGTAAGTACCAGTAAAGTATCAGTAAAGTATCAGTAAGTACCAGTAAGTACCAGTAAAGTATCAGTAAAGTACCAGTAAAGTACCAGTAAAGTATCAGTAAGTACCAGTAAAGTACCAGTAAAGTATCAGTAAAGTACCAGTAAAGTACCAGTAAAGTACCAGTAAAGTATCAGTAAAGTACCAGTAAAGTACCAGTAAAGTACCAGTAAAGTATCAGTAAGTACCAGTAAAGTATCAGTAAGTATCAGTAAAGTACCAGTAAAGTATCAGTAAAGTACCAGTAAAGTATCAGTAAGTACCAGTAAAGTACCAGTAAAGTACCAGTAAAGTACCAGTAAAGTACCAGTAAGTATCAGTAAAGTACCAGTAAAGTACCAGTAAAGTATCAGTAAAGTACCAGTAAAGTACCAGTAAAGTACCAGTAAAGTATCAGTAAAGTACCAGTAAAATATCAGTAAGTACCAGTAAGTACCAGTAAAGTACCAGTAAAGTATCAGTAAGTACCAGTAAAGTATCAGTAAAGTATCAGTAAAGTATCAGTAAGTACCAGTAAAGTATCAGTAAAGTACCAGTAAAGTATCAGTAAAGTATCAGTAAGTACCAGTAAAGTACCAGTAAAGTACCAGTAAAGTACCAGTAAAGTATCAGTAAGTACCAGTAAAGTATCAGTAAAGTACCAGTAAAGTACCAGTAAAGTATCAGTAAAGTACCAGTAAAGTACCAGTAAAGTATCAGTAAGTACCAGTAAGTATCAGTAAGTACCAGTAAAGTATCAGTAAAGTACCAGTAAAGTACCAGTAAAGTATCAGTAAGTACCAGTAAGTACCAGTAAAGTATCAGTAAGTACCAGTAAAGTATCAGTAAGTACCAGTAAAGTATCAGTAAGTACCAGTAAAGTATCAGTAAAGTACCAGTAAAGTACCAGTAAAGTATCAGTAAAGTACCAGTAAAGTATCAGTAAGTATCAGTAAAGTACCAGTAAAGTACCAGTAAAGTACCAGTAAAGTACCAGTAAAGTATCAGTAAAGTACCAGTAAAGTATCAGTAAAGTACCAGTAAAGTATCAGTAAAGTACCAGTAAAGTATCAGTAAAGTACCAGTAAAGTATCAGTAAAGTACCAGTAAAGTATCAGTAAAGTACCAGTAAAGTACCAGTAAAGTATCAGTAAAGTATCAGTAAAGTACCAGTAAAGTACCAGTAAAGTATCAGTAAGTACCAGTAAAGTATCAGTAAAGTATCAGTAAGTACTGGTAAAGTATCGGTAAAGTACCGGTGAAGTATCGGTAAAGTACCGGTAAAGTATCGGTAAAGTACCGGTAAAGTATCGGTAAAGTATCAGTAAAGTACCAGTAAAGTATCAGTAAAGTATCAGTAAAGACCAGTAAAGTACCAGTAAAGTACCAGTAAAGTATCAGTAAAGTACCAGTAAAGTACCAGTAAAGTATCAGTAAAGTATCAGTAAGTACCAGTAAAGTACCGGTAAAGTACCGGTAAAGTACCGGTAAAGTACCAGTAAAGTACCAGTAAAGTATCAGTAAGTACCAGTAAAGTATCAGTAAAGTACCAGTATCAGTAAGTACCAGTAAAGTACTAGTAAAGTACCAGTAAAGTACCAGTACACTAACAGCATGTATCTTTAATATGTCTCTCTTCCTGTGGCTGTGCAGCTCAACCCACCGGGCCCTGCTGGTTCTGTCTGGCCAGCCCTCAGGTGGAGAAACACCTGGTGATCAGCATCGGGACTCACGTGAGTTTAGAACAAATTAGACACAATATTTGTTGGAGGCAAAGTATATGAAAATATCCATGTAGTTCCGTCTATTCCAAAAATCGACTTGACTCGGACAAAATACGTCTGAATCGTTGGCCTTAAAGGGGACCTATCATGCAAAATGCACTTTGTGATGTCTTCTCTACGTCACCATGTGTCCCCGGTGTGTCGGGGAACTCACGCAGCGTCAGAAAATAAAACCCTCTCTCTTTTCCTCCGTACCCAAATCTCTAAAAACGGGGAACAACGGAGCTGATCCAGATTTGCGTCCGATATGACGTAATATCTGAAATGTGGACCCACGGCCCAATCAGAAACGTTGCTATCAGAAACAATGCCCGACTGTTTTGGACGTAATATGGTCGGTGTTTACATTAGCATCGCTAACACTCAGAGCTAACCTGTACTGGAGAGCATGTGTGTGAAGAAGCAGGAAGTAGAAAGGAACTCACCTTGTGGTATAACCGGCAAGAGAGAAAGCCTTTGAGCTCCAAACTGTTTCAGAGAGAATCCTTGATAATCCATGATATGGCGTTTCATCACGGCAGCATTTAGTTTAGACAGTAGCTGCCGGGTCCCGCATGAGCTCAGACCCCTCCTCTTTAAAGCTTTATACCCAAACAGCACTTTAGAAACAGGAAGTGGAATAGAGGGATATGAGGCATGGCTAGAATGATCTGTTTGGTGTTTGGAGCAAAACACTTCATAGACATGTTCTTTATATATTTTTATTAGGGCTGTCAAGTTGACGCAACGCAAAAAAAAATTAATGCCACTAATTATTTTAACGCGATTAACGCATGAGCATTTTTTGTCCTCGGCCGCCCCGTAGTTTCAGAGCGCATCGAGTTTAAAATACCATCTATACAATCCAAGCACCCCGCTCCTGCCGCCCGCTTGCGGGGGAGACGCCTGGACACGTCTACGAGCAGCAACCTTTCAACAAAGATCGCTAAATGGGTGGCTGCAGCTTGCAGGCCAATTAACATGGTGGAGGACGAGGGGCTGCGTGATGTAACTCGGGTCGCATCCAACGACTGCACGTATGAATTGCCTTCCAGAGTCGAAAATACACAACTTGTATGAAGTCCAAAAAGCGAAAGTAGAGGAGGATTTAAGAAAGACTCACCGGACACTACTGGACTTCACTCAGTAAGGTCACCTCGGGGTCACAGCGCATTATTTTCACCCGCAGTGGGAACTTCAGTCTCATGCTTTGACAGTTAGAAAACAGAGGAGCGGCATTTCGCCGATAACTGTGCCGACACACACACACACACACACACACACACACACACACACACACACACACACACACACACACACACACACACACACACACACACACACACACACACACACACACACACACACACACACACATACACACACACACACACACACACACACACACACACAGTATTATTGTATTGTATGAGAGAGGTTCCAGGTTGAATTGAGGTGAATATTTGTAATGTTCAAATGATAATAAACAAAAATGTGCATAAAGCATATGTGTCCACTCATATGTTGATAAGAGTATTACAACTTGAAGAATATCCCTCTAAATCAGTGCTTCTCAAACTTTTTTCAGTAATGTACCCCCTTTGAAACATTTTCTCAGCCAAGTACCCCCTGACCGATCCCGAAATTTTTTGATCGAAAAAGCCTATATAAATAACTACAATATAGTGATGTTCCCTCCGTGTGTGATGTATTAACTCCTTCCTGGTATGCATTGCAACAAACTAAGGATATTTTCATTTTATGCATGAAAAAAAATAACATAACACTTTTATAAAACAGATTTTTCCAAGGAGTTTTTCAATTTAAGTAATATGTTATTGTGAAAAACTATCAAATACAATACACACATTTGACATGTTTATATGAGGACCCCCTTGGTGGTTCTAGGAATGTTTTATATACAATTGTGTTTTCTAATTAACTTATTTTACTAAGATTATTTTTTAATTAACCTTTTTTTTTATTTTATTTTTTTTAAATCACACGTACCCCCTGCAGTACCCCAACGTACCCCCAGGGGTCCGCGTACCCCCATTTGAGAATCACTGCTCTAAGGTACATCCCTCGATTAATCGCGATTAACTATTTTAATCGACTAACAGCCCTAATTTTGATATATCTGAG